GTTCACAAAAAAAAGTATATATGTATCTATCAGTAAATCTAGTTTTCGTAGTACAAGCTCTGCTTAGTTTGAAACTAGATGGCGTTGTGTGTCAGATGTCTGAAATATCATTATTTATTTATTTTACATGATTGATAAAACATTAAAACGGCACGAAGATTTTTCTTCACGAATTTTTTTAAATATTTTTTATGTATGTTACTTGATTCTTCCAAGATGGCACGAACGATTTTACGCTACTACCCATTTTTATTGAATAAATAATATCAAATTTTATAGGCAAATCACAATTTAGATATTTTTACAGTAACTTGTCAGAAAGCACAATAAAAACGTGGTGGATGGTGATGATAAAAGTTTTAAGTGCATTGAAGTCGATTAGGACTGTTTTTATTAAAGGAAACTACTTATTTGCTATCGGTAACAGCGAGCTATTAAAACAAAGATGCCGTTGGCTGTGCATCGGCTGGTCATAGTGCATGGCAACTAAAATCTAAAAACTGTTTATAGTATAGTTTTTTATTAGAAACTGTTATTTTTTTTATCATCAATGTACATTGTTACACTGCATATCCATACTAATATTATAAATGTGAAAATGTGTCTGTCTGTTACCTCGTTACGCTTAAACCGCTAAACCGATCTAGATGAAATTTAGTATAAAGATAGTCCGAGTTCCCGGAAAGGACATAGGGTAGTTTTTATTCCAGAAATCATCCTTTAAGGGAGTGAAAGTTTGTATGGGAACTCTATAACCGCTGAACCCATTTAGATAAGTTTTGGTAAGGAGATGCTTTGATTATTGAGGAGACTTTTTACCGCGACAACCGACACTTACGCGGGCGGAGGCGCGGGCAAAAGCTAGTTTTAATAAAAAAATATTTCAGCGGAATACTTTTGAAATGCTGTGTGTGGACTGGAACATAGCCACGTTCTTGCTTACAAAAGATAATAGATAAAAAAACAATACATTTTTTTACCCACTCCAAAAAAAGGATAGGGTTCTTAATTTGCATGATGCTATGCGAATCCTTCACTATTACAATTTGGCTGCACGGACGATGTACCTAGTGGTTTAAGCGGTCACCTCGCCGCTTTCTACTGCGCTGGGTGTTGTGGGTTCGATCCCAACAGTGGTTAACACTTTGTGTGATCCACAAATTGTTGTTCTAAGTGTGGGTGTTATTTGTATATGTTTCATGTGTGTATGTAAAGTCCTTCGCGACACCGGATATATTCCTAGTACGGGAGGCCCTTTTAATTTTGTAATATTTTTTTAAAGGCTTAATGATTTATTTATTTATTTTAAGCTTAATGCACATGTTGTATTAAGGCGGAGCTAATGCCATGAGGCATTCTCTCCCAGTCGACCCTTCAGGTGGTGTAGAAATATGATGCGGTAGGTGCAAAGATAAAGTGTTAAATTTATGGTAGCTTAAAAGTAGTTTGGTAAATCAGAGATAAACCTATATTGGATCAGAGATAAACCTATTGAAAGAAGTATATTGTTTTTTGGTCGAAGGTTTGATTGGAGCATAATCAAATCAAAAATTATGTCATTTAAGCCCATATGGTACGCTACATCTCAGCTATACCATGAGTTAAAAATTTTAACAGTAAGAAAACTCTTCTTATTAACGGTTTTACTTCGTAAACACGCAGATCTCCCTTATATTCCTATTATAGAAAAACGCAGAATAGATAAAGCTTGCATAATACATTTGTGTAAAACGCAACTTGCTAAGCGACACTTCTACTTTTTTGCCCCCTCATTGTATAACAAAGTAAATAAAATTTTGAACATTTATCCCACTATTATGCGAGAATGTAAATCGCGAGTTACTGAATGGATGCTTGGCCTAACTTGCAAAGACACCGAAGATTTAGTCGCATCTATTATATAACACAACACGCACACTCACATGCACTCCCACACGCAGGCACGCTCACACAGATACACACAGACAGACACGCACGCACAGACACACACCCACACACACACACGCGCACACACACACACAACACACATACACTTTCAAATCCTCAACGTTATACTCCACATGCTTAGTTTGTAGAGTTGTAATGTGGTAGAATGTAATGGAAGGTTTGCATCAGATCCAAAGGTGGGCGTTAGTGACTGCGCCACCGTGTTTCACTAATGCAGTCATTTTCAAACACATTTAAATTATTGTAATCTGTGTTTTCAGTCTTAAATAAAGAATTTTATTTATTTATTTATTTATTTATAATGCTACAGCAATGCAACGAATGGATAGGATATTCTTTTTGATGTACACAGAAAATACCGGAGAAAAGTTAAAGGATTCAATATCGGAGTCGCATAGATTAGCCATATAGCTCAAGGTCTGACTCTTGGTTTGATGATCCAATTGCAGTGTAAGTGAGAAATGACGATTGATATCATCTACACCAATTGTCGTCTTAAACTCAGGTTTGTTAAACTTAAACTCTGTTGTTTACCAATGCCCAGTGATCCAAGGAACTTCCGCGCAAGGTGAACAGATTTCTATGTTTTGAATTATGTGGCAGCGTTTAGCGTTACGTATGACCTGGTTACATCGATTCCTAGCAGTCTTGAAAAGGTTCCACTTCTCCTAGCAGCGATCCTTCCTGTACCTATTGAAACAACGGTCTCTTCATCCCATAGCTATTCGGATTTACTCTGTCATCCATGTGTCATCCTGCCGAGGGACACTACAATTTAACTTTCTTCACAGGTGCGTGGATGTCATACAGGTTAAGAACTGTCATATTAAAAATACTGACCTTGTTCATGTCTGTAGCAGCTGATGCAGAAGCAGCAGCACACAGTTTTTTGATCCATTCGTCTGAAACTACGAAGATTCAGAATTTAGGGGTGAGGGGATTTAGGAGGTTTAAGGATATAGGAAAGAAAGATCAAGTCATAATGGGAAAATCTAGGTTATTTTGTATATGAGAATAGATAAGGTCTGGAGCAGAGGTGAGCATTAAGTCAAGCCAAGTATCCTGGTGCTCAATGTTGTGATGAGTTGCTTAAAGGGAGAGGACGATGAGGTTTGTGGATTGGATGATGTAGAGGAGATTACGAGTACGGAACGAGTTGAGTACTTGGAGATCGGGACTAATCCCGCCCACACGCCCACCACTGTAACTCCTGTACACCAGGATCCACAGCAGTGACCCACGAACACACCGAGTTATGACACTCGGGAAGTCCCAGGAAGAAATTAAACTGTCTTGGAATCCGCAACGAAATTAATCAGAAGAAAATTGGAGGAGTTGGAAATACAGTAAATCCACTTCCCTCCTTAGCAAAGCGGGAGACAAAATGAAGTAAAATGGGCATACACCCATTTAAACAGGGAAGCACCACGGCCGGGAAATATTACGGGTCCTACGTGAGCTATATTTGATTTCTATAATATGTATGGCAGAATCGCCTAAACGCACGGAAATTCACCCTAGTTGACACAAGATCCCCATAGTATACCGCCCCAGATGTCACCTGCAAGGTATTCAGCATTATATTACGTTCATTATACCAAAGACTACATTCCCAGAGGATATGATGAGCAGACTGTTCATAGTGAGAGTTAGGTGTTGAGCATTGACACAATGGTGACTCGACTAATTTAAATGAATAAAGCTTGCTCTTAAAGTTACCATGACCCGTAAGAAATTGAGCGACACAGTGATCCACCTCAAGCCATGTCCTCGACAACCGTTCGCGAACAGATGGAAAGAATTGGTAAAGATGGCGCCCCTTGGATGATTCATCCCAGCGTTGTTGCCATTCGTCTATGAGGTCATTATAGACATACTTGGAGATCGTCATTAAAATCACCCATAATGATGTGGTGTGAGATTGTGACCGTAATGATTCCAGAACCTTTTCCGGACTCAGTAATCGGTCACCCAAGGTGTCAGGCAAAGAACAGAAGCTCTCATCCTCACAAGAGTCGTTGGGAGAAAAAATATGCTTCATTATCATGAGTTATCATTCAAACATTCAATAATATTAACTTCAATATATAATTGCCCGACCGATTTTCGTGAATTTTTGTGTGCATATCGGGTAGTATCTGAGAATCGGCCATCATCTATTTTTCATACACCAATTTTTTTTTTTTAATAAATGTATATGGCATAACAACGTTTGCGGGGTCAGCTAGTATATATTATATAAATTTACGGCTAAATAATATTTTACGTAAATATATAATTATAAATATTATAAGTTATTACCTTCAATGAAGTTCGTGCGTATTTCTACACCACACGCCAGCTCACCCACATAACACTGGTACAAAACAATAATTTAAAAAAAATGCAACCAATAAAGTACTAAACAGTTAGTGCCTTTTATATTAATAAGCAACACAAAAAAAAAATACAAAAGGTTAATTCGAAAATGGTCCATAGCTTTGTGTTCCTATAAAGCTATATATACACAAAATACATAATTTATTCAGAAGCGATAAAATTTAACTAGACAAAGAACAGGCTGTTGCGTGCGCATCGGCCTGTTATTGGACGAAGCGAGTTAGGGGCTGGACCATGTTCCGATGGGCCCCTCGCACCTCAGCACTACGTCATCCCTGCGGACCCTGCTCTGCGACAGTTTACGTCGAACAGTGGCTCTGAAGAGACGCCTACCAGCGCTTCTCCATAGTACAACACGTTAAGTTCCTGTCTATAGATGATTTAGTAGTCATAGTGCGTTCTTACAATCTGTTTGTGCTCTAAACTGAAAATCAATTTTACCTTAACTTTGATAAAGTTTTTTTATTTATTTTTGAGATAAATTTGAAATAATTATTTATAGACTATTCTCTAAATTTCTTACTTTAATAAGATGGTGCTCGATGCATTTTAAAAAGCCCATTTCAATGTTGTTTCGGGTGCACCTGCAATTTTTTTTCTATTAACTTAAAATACTGATTCAAAAAAGAACAACTAGCATTTAGTTTCTCAGTGATTTAGTAATAAGCAACAAAATGCATCAACAATACGGCGACACCCATAACGTGGCTATCACCACAAAGACTAAAAAGACTCGAAAGGCACGTGTGGAACCAATCCCGAAGTAAGTTTATCTATATTATAACTCTCATTTTACATGTATTGTGCTTTACTAATAACTGTTTTATTTTTAGAACAAAGGATAGGATCCAAACACGAGCTTCAACGATGGCAGACGTACTTCAAGAACAAAATAGCACGAGATATGCAACGCACTATTCGATGGCAGAGTGAGTTTTACAGCCTCATTAATTAAACGTTTAACAGTTACTAAACCAAGTACTATACATATGTTTCAGCGATCAAAGCTTGCTTAATGCTAATCAAGTTTTATATCCAAATATGAGCCATGTTCCGACTACAATACCATACTCGATGCCACAACAAATGACCCAGCCTCCTACGAATTCTACTACCGAGTAAGTTTTGTCAAAATTAAAATGTATTTGTTAATACACATTGTTACTATTATTTATTTTAACATTTTGGGCTGTTTAGACAGCCTATGGTGTCAAGGTACAACACTAGAAGGGCAGTACATAATTTACCTATAGTCTCAGAGCCTAGTATGAGTAGATATTACAATACTCCAAGACCACCAATTTCACGACAAAGTCAGCGCGCGCAACAGATGAACACGCCGGTACCTGTTGAATATCCATCAACAAAACAAACAAAAGAACAAAGTGCACAGACAGATTTAAATATCACTGAGGATGAACATAAAATGCTGAAATTGCTCCGATCTAAGCGAATCATTGAACTATCACAGTTAAAAGTCATTATGGAAAGAAGTAAAAGATATGATCAGAAACCTCTAGAGAAGATTAAGGAAGACGAACCAGAAGAAGAAACGATGATAGCAAAAGAAACTTACAATCAGATTATAGAATACAGTAATTTTAGTAAATGTAAAATGTTGAACTACATGAGTTATTATGTTAAATTGCAAGAGAAAACTGCTATTGCTACGCAGCAACAAACCCAAGCTATACAGTATCAGGCCATGTTCAATCAAGTCATGGCCAACCAACTCTTACCACAGGGCCTCTTACAAAGTAACCAACAACAGCCAATAGATACACCTAACATACCGCAGTGGTATCCAGAACAAAAGCATCAGGAGAACATGAGTCCTAATGATGAATTTGTCAATACTCGAACACCGAACCAACAGCAGGTATATATTATATAATATATTTCAAATTAAACATATTATTATTTGGCAGTCATACGGTGAAAGGGTACACATTACACATCAGATCTAGATAATTTGCATTATATATGGTGAAATACCTAATAACTAACATTTTTACCGAAAATGACTTTAAAATTGATTCGGATTCATCAAAACATTTCTACCTAACGTTCTCTCTTTCTAGATTTGTGTAACAAAGCTTTAAGTCGCTCGTAGCCATAGGCACATAATACATAAAAATAGATAGACAAAAGAGGCTTAATTTAGTCCAGAAAACTACTATTCAAAGCCCTAATTTCTATATTACGCTTTTTCTTATTAGTAAAAAGAGTTTTCATACTTGGAAAGCCGAATTTCATCTTAGGCCTTTTCATTTTAGCACATCTTTTCGGTCGTTATTCTGATATCCTATGTTGAAGAAACTTAAATAGGAGTTATGGTTTTTCACCTTGGTTTGCGTTCTAAAATTTATGCCAACATGATTTGTGTCACGAATTCATTACTAATACTTAAAAAAAAAGACGTGTGGCACTCGGGGACTGCCGCGGTAAAGCTATTGCATGGCATTTTGTATCAACTTATGCAATTATAATTATTTATTTATCTTATTTATGCAGTATTTCTTTTTCTTTGATATTAATTCAAGTTACACTTTTTGAGCGTGGTGACCGATAAGAAAACAATTTTTTTTCTTTTATTAAATAAAAATATTGAAGCATATATTACAATTTGTTTTTAAATAAATATATAAAAAATATTATTATTAAATCAAATTACATATCCATGTAAGATTTTTCTGCATTATGTTGACGAAATTTCCTTTGACGTTCAGCATTTGATTTTGGTACTGTTTTTTGTTTTGTTTTTAGCGTGAGGTTTTTTTTCGTTACGGAATTTCTGGATTCGGTCCCCGCGCTCAAGGCCCTCGATAGAAGCTATGCAATAGCTTAATAATAATTAGGATTCAAAGCTTCAATTCTAGCGTGAAAAGGCCAACAACTGTAACAAGAAAAGCCCTAACCTATGTATCTGAGGATTACCTGCTTAGTTGCATAATTTAAATATTTTTTTTACTAAAAATAAGCGGATTCAATATAAAATTAAATCCAAATATAGTAGAAAATATGCTTATCACGAATTAACATGAATATCGACAGTGCTTAAAACTTCACTTCAGACAATGCTGTCATTTTCTCAATGTATGTATACTTATAGGTAGAAACAGCCATTCACCGTATGACGGCAGTAGTACTTGTGTCAGTAGTTTTTTTATGATGACACTTGTTTGCATTCCTCACTGATGTAAAACGATTCCAGGTCCCAGATGCACCGCTGCTTAATGATGGTTTACAGATCCAGACTCTTATCGGCCATAGACCTACTCCACCTCACCGAGTCCCATATATTTCACCACACATTCTGCAAGCCGCTGCGTTATGTCTCAATAATAATTACAATCGCTACGGAATGTCAGAGTATTTTCAAAATCGTCCCTCAAAACAACCTCCATGGGGGGCCTAAGTCAATTTGACACGATTCTAAGTAGTTTAAGGATAATACAATTTAAATTATAGCACTTAATCAAAGTATTTTTTGTGTTTGCAACGCGGTTTACAGCTCATTTCCTTCTACAATTGACATGTACGCTTTTTTTCGAATTACCTTGTTTCTATTCACGCAAACGAATGACTTGGGAAGCTCTGTGTCAGATCGAGTTTGTGTCTAATAAAGATGAATCTAGAAGCATCAAACCCACTTGCCATGGCGCAAGTTGCCCTTTTGTTATTTTGAAGAAAGAAATCATTTTAGAACACTTAACTCTCTTCCCCATGAATTTATTCGGTATAATACTTTTAACGCAAACTCCTCTTCCAAAAAATTTAATAAAAAGTGTTGCTAGTGTCGTACCACTAAAATAATAATTTTCACTTAATAAGTTTATATTAAGGGATTTTCGATAAAAACTTTCATGTAGAAGAAAACGGCAGAATCGCAAAATCAATTAGTATTATAGACATTAAACCTTTATATTTTCATGGAATTTTTCTACAATAATATCGATAAGCGATTTGCAATAAAACAAGAAAATTAGTGTCAAGGTTGTGTTTGCACAAAGAAAAAAATAAGCACAGAACCAGCTAATGTTATGATATTCAACTGGTCGATCTGTTGTAATCTGCGAAGTTCATAAATTATATTAACAATAATATAAAACTCAATATTTAAAACTGTTACGAATGACCCAAAACAAAATAAAAAACTCAAATCCAAAATCCTTTTCCTCTCACTCCATCTGCTGGCTATAGGCTCCTCGCCATAACTTTCATAATGCCTATTCCGCGTCTCCGGCTGCTTCTATCAAAAGTCTGCAGAAGTACCAGTAACAAGATGGAATGTGTTCCGTTTGGATCTTACCGACACCAGAAGAGTGACTCACAGAGATTTTGGTAAATATATATTATATATGTATTTTCTTTTTCGTTTCCCATGTAGAAATCCAGTGGTATAAACACATTGATATTTTTTTAGGTTAAAAATAATTAAAAAAATCATGTTTACAACGATCTAAAGCAGAATGTAGTTTTTGACGAAACCAAAGTTTTAGCTTTTGTTAAAACGTGTCACTATTGGCGTTGTGCTAAGAGACAGAGGACTACCGTGTACGAGAAACTGTTAAGCTGTTACGTGTTTCTGCTGAGAGCGAACTGAACATGTCTACTACTACTAAAACATTTCAACTTTTCCTAGATTAGACTGTATTATTTTTTAAACATAATCATTATAGAACCAGAAAAATAAAAAACAAAAAAGGTGGAGGTTAAATAAAACACGCCTCCTAACCTGCCAAAATTCACTAGTAAAAAGAGAGCAAAATACAATAAATCTGCGTTCTTAAAACCATGTCATCTTTTGTGTCTGATAATAGTTTAGATAAGATTTAAGAGATTAACAATTAAGATTTTATCATAAAATTAAAAAATACAAAAAAAAGTAATTCATGTAATTAAAACATTTGTAAAAGTAGTTACTAAGTGTATGAGTAATAGCTAGGAGGGTTTTTTGGAGGGGGGGTACCATTAAATGAGAAAGGGGATGGGGTTTACTATTTAAAAATAATGTCAAGCGGATCCCACTTGTTTTCCACAATTAATTGTCGACTGTTGAACAAATACTTTAAAAAATAGATGTAAATATGTTTACTATGCATGAACCAAATGGTTGTACTGAGTAGTGAAATAGAATTATCTTCTTCAATTGATATTTAATGTATAGGATAAATACGTAATTAATTATTGAATGTGTACTTATTAATTATAGGTATAAAACGTAGAAATAGTTAATTCGTTAGAAAAAAAAGACAAAAAAAAAAACAAAAATAGATAACGGGTGGCACAGAATTCGTTTTTCTTTCGTAGAATAGCAAATGCTGTTTCGGTGTAAAACTCAGATTTTAAGTCGATCCCCTATAAATACAGACATTGCTTCAAACTCTATGATATTTATTACCGAGCTCGTGTTTAAATTTCATTTTTAAAAATTTTAAATGTTGACATTATTTAATTTTATATCAATACTTTTAATTATTTACATTATCTGGTATGTAAAATTTCAAAATGACCATCTGCTATAGTCTTACTGTAACACAGTATGTAAAAGTTAGTCTTAAATTATTTTGGAATTAAGTAAATTTACCTAATCAATATACCTTATCATAATACTTGGTGTATACCCATGAGAAAGGAGATGAATACAGACATGTCCTATCTGCTCTGCAGCTCTGCTTAGTAAAGAATTCAGATATAGTATTATAGGTAAAATATGTAGTAGTATTCTTTTTTACTTAATACTTGGTACTATTAGCAGAAATTAGAAAAGTACATACTAGATTTTTTCCATTAAAGTTAAAAATATTTGGGCTGTACATTTCAAACTTATTCATTAGGTTTTTAAAGAACGTAATGCTCAAAAACGTCAAAACTCCCTGCTTTGAAACAAACGTTAAAATATAAAAAAGTAATATTAAAAACAATAATATTCCGTGTACATATTCTAAGCCACTGCCACAAAGATGGTGTATTTAATAAACGTACCATAAAGATAACTCAAAAATTTAAAAATACTTAAATTATAACTAAATTGAGGTATCGTAAAAAGTCTTGACTGTTACAGTTTATAAGAAGCATCAAAAGACGACCAAACTGTGCACCGAATGTAAATAGTACATCCATGTAATTTTTGGACCGTAGTGGAACACCACAAGTAGGAACCGTTTATGAGCATGACATATATTCAAAACGATATGTTGTACAAAATCTTCTTCGGCCGAATTTTATCTGTTGTAGGCTTGCTCGCTAAGCAAAGTTATTATTAGTCTAAAAATCTTTTACAGATTTCAATAAAAGATAAAATCATTTCCTTATGTAATTAATTTTATTAGTAGTTTTTTTAAGTTTCGGTTGCAATGTAAAATAAATACAGTACAATATTATTTCTTTTGTCACCGAAGAAAAAACTTGACTCTGTTGTACATAACTTAGCATAAGATAGTGTAGGCTTTCTAGTCGTTTTAATATCGTTGTCACTTTTTATTCTCACTTCTATTAATATCTCAATCTCTTTATGGGTGAAATGAGAACATCATAGATAAGAATTGCTATATGCAAGTAGTTTAATTAATTATATTGAATATCATTAGAAAGCTTCTTTGCAGAAAATACCTAGATTAGTTAAGAAATGTGAGTACTTGATTGGTCGATATTTAACTTTAAATTTCAATTTAGGCATTTTTCAGTTTTAAATTTACCTAAAGCTTTAATGCATGAGTCGGATTTGTAAAAAAAAGAAAAATCCAGTAATTTGTCATGTCTTGAAACTTTACTTTTAGTTTACATTTTAAATATAGGGAAATAAGACAAACTATTAGTAGTAGCCCGGTAACCGCGTTGAAGGCAGAATGGAGTTATGTCGGAGTAGAATTGACTAAAGCCACACGACACACACGCATATTACTAGGAAAAGTAGTTTGCCTGCGAGACGATTACTAGCCCACAAAACCCGGCAAGTTCAACATTCTGACTGCCTTGGACACTTGAATGAAATTCTTTGTTTAAGAGATAACAGACAGAGTTATGGATAAGTCACTCGATGTTTTATCTGAGACTAAACAATTTGAAGAATTCGCAAACTTAAAGCTTAAGGTAAATTTTGAGGAAAATTGTGATTTGAGGCATCAGTAGTGATTATGTTGTACTTCTGCTCTTTAGGACAAGGCATTATAGAATAGTATAGAAATACACATTAAAATGCTAGAACTCAACGCTGTAATGTTAGACTAATGCTAGCAGTACCATGTGAGATACGTGTTCTGCTAGTTTCAAGTTTTTTTTTTAAATAATAAAATACATTATTTTCCCAACTTTTGACCCAAACAAAATATAAAGAAGAAGCTAATATTATTTAATAGTAAAAGCCACATAACAATACGTATAACTATTTAATGTCATATACTTTTTCTGTAGTTTTAACTATAAAAAGAAGATTTGAGAGAGAACATACAAACTTTACCTCTTTTTAATGTTAGTATAAAAAACACAAGTACAGTAGTTTTTGTCAAATTAGGTATCAAAATTGAATGTTGCATCAAAAATGTCGATCGTTATTTATTATTTTTAAAAAAGCTTAAGATTTAAAAAAGCTCTACCGCTAATTTTGACTTTTAAAATTGTCCATAAATAGTACGTAACGTAGACGCCAATATATTAAAATCTGTTGAGATTTATGAAATCGACCTCTTTCCTTTCGGCTTTCGGACTAAAGTTGTGCGAATCGTTTATATTTAACAAAATTATATCTTTAAAAGTATGTTTTATACTCTGCCGTATAATTATATACATCTCGTAGATGCAGATAGCATAAGAAAAAAATAAGTTCATCAAAAGTGCTGTTTAAAATTAATTGAGTATAAAAGAAGTGTTATATTTATAAGCTACATATACGAGAATGTAGTATACTTAGTAAAGATTTTTCATCATCATCATCAACAGCCTATACTAGTCCACTGCTGGACATAGGCCTCTCCTTAGATAAACCTTTATAAAGTTAAATATAGCGGTACAACATTCCAGGGCCTCAATTCTGCTATTTTAATATTGTATCAATAGACTGTCGATGGAATATCGTAGGAATAGTTTTGCACTTTTCCTATTCTACCAACTATGTAAGACCAATGGCCCCCGATGACTTGTCACTGATACAAATGTCGTATATGTCTATTTAATTTTCCAGGTATGGCAATGTTGTTGATATCACCATTGATGATCTATATTACTATATCGACAGTCTATTGACACTGTGAATTTATGTTATGTTAGAATACTAATATTTTGACCGATGTCAATTGCGTCTCAATGGCGTCTCAATAGCGTATCAATGGAATGACAGTGGCTTGGTGTTAACATAAAATAGCAGAATTGAGGCCCTGTTCTAACTGAGGCCTCCGACTGGATTCGTAGTTCCAATCT